GTACTTTCGATTTGATTTGAAACTGTCTCATTGCTATATGTTTATCAATGAAACTTTGAAAAGAAAAAAAAATAAATAAAATTAAAAAAAGAAAGAGAGAGAGAGAGAGAGAGGGGGGGGGGGCAAGGCAAGAAAAGAAAAGAGCAGAGGGTAGAAAAATTACAGATAAATGGGATCTTTAATTGCAAAGTTTGTGTACCGTGGGTTGGAGAAGGACACATACCTTTTCAAAGCTAAACAAATGCAACCACGTTCATGCACAGAATAAAGGGAGAATGTTTGAACACTTTTACTAGAGAAGATTGAAAAGATGTCTGCTGTGCCATTCTAGTTACTTAAGTTTAGAGTTACTCTGTACTCACTTGGGCGTGACATATATGTACTAAGTTTAAAATTCTGTTGTGCTGTTTAAGTTTAAAATTAGAATTCTCACAAAAGTTTGTGCTCGTCTTTCAGATACCCACTGAAAATCCTTTACAGGAAAGTACATTTCCCAGTGTGCAAGCACATCGTGGGAGCATTTCCAAACATTTCATCCTGCGCACACACTTCTTGCATTTATCACGCTATTATGTTAGTGAAAACACATTTTGAAGGCTGAAAGAATAAGTCTGAACAGTGAGCTTAAGTTAGAGTTGATGTACATTCTCCTGTGAGAAATCAACTATTCTTTAAAAGATTTCTACTTTAGAGTACCAGGAGTATCACGGCCCAAAATGCTGGGAGTCAAACGCAACATCTGGGAAGGAAAGCTCCTTAGTCCTCACCAAACACTAACATCAGAGAGAGAACAATGAACATAGAATAAATGTGGCACCAGAGGTTAGCGACCATGTGTGAGCTCTCACATTGCACACGAGTGTTGGGCCGGGTGTAAAAGACTCTACGGCACTCCAGTTCATCTCAAAGCTCATGCTGTGCCCAAATACACATATGAATTTATATTTCCTACATGCTGTTCCTCGTTTTTCCTTTTATTTGATGAAAACAAGTGGCACAAAATTAGCTTTCAGAGCAACTACTGAGTCACTATAAAATTCTAATAATTCAATCTAATGCTGAACTCTTTAGTACACAAATTGATTAATATGTGAAGCTAGTGATAGGGGCTGTTCATCTGGGGCTATATTTGTTGTTTGCGTATCCAGCACAAGCATAGGATCTTCAAGCTCTGTCATCTACACTTTTGTTCAGATTACAGTGGCCACAGAAACTCAGGATCCTGATTAGAAAGAAGCAGGCAATTGCCAAGCTGAGCACACCCTTTGTACATTTGCATGCACCCGTCATTTTGTTTCTGTCTTTATCCCCTGTCCTCATCCCCCCTTCTAGTTCTATGGCCCTGATGAAAAAGGGACTCTCCTGCACTGCTGTTGGGAGTGTAACTAGTACAACCGTTATGAAAGTCAGCGTGAAGATTTATCAAAAATATAAAATGAGAAATCCCGTATGACCCCGCCATTTTCTTTCTAAGCATCCTCCCCAAGGAGCTCAAGACATCATACTGCAGTGACGCACACACACCAATGCTTACAGCAACACATTCACAGCAACAAAATCCTGGAAAAGCCCACACATCCATCAGCAGATGACTGGACAAAGAAAATGTGGTATCTGTATATGATGGAACACTATTTGGCTCTAAAGAAGGACAAATGTGAGACATCTGTAGGGAGATGGATGCCCCTGGAAGACATAATGTTGAGGGAAATAAATTAGACACACGAACTTGGGTGCCGTATGTCTCATCCGAGCTCGATAAATCGTGAGGAGTTTTGCTTGAGCAGGAGTTAGGAGGCAGGGAAAGCAGCAAAGGGAATGAGGCTCACACACATTGCCTATTTCTGCTGTCTCTATCCTGAGAGTCCCCTCCTTACTCAAAACTCCATCACCACATCCCAATTCTGCCTGGTTGTCTTATTCCCCGATTTCACTGACACAAGAAAGTGCACCCCCAAGTTACAAGCACCACTTCTCACCTACCCACATCCTTATAGGCTCAACACAAAACAAGCTGAATTGTTGGTGTGGTTTTCTGTTCAGCTATGAAAAGCACTGTGTTAACCCAAACTAGGGTTTTGTTAGGTAAGGATGATAAACAGCATTGCAGACAAGAGAAAATAATTATAAGATGAGAACTGTGACTCACTGTGCTCTTTATAGCTCAAGAAAGTATAGCAAGGGCCCTACTGGCAAAGTCAGACTCCTGCCAGTTTCACAGACTGGCTTGGTCTTGGCAGAGACTCCAAGAGGACAGAAACTGGCATTAACTTTACATTTATTTTATTTTATTTTGTTTTATTTTATTTTATTTATTTGGTACAAGGTCTCACTATGCAGCTCAGACTCACAGTGAGCCTCCTGTCTTCAACCTCCCAAGCATTGTAATTACAGGCTTAAGCGACCACGCCAGGACTTGGTAGCAGGCTCTGTGCATCCACGGGTGGGGCCAGCACAGCACGGGGTGCTGGAGATTGAACCCAGGCCCCTGTGCTTACCCAAGCAAGCACTTAGTCCACTGAGCTATCTTGCTGGCCCTCTAACCTTAAATTTAGAGATGTGGTCAAAACATCAGCTTCCCTCAAGTACCCATTCTACAACTGGCCTGTGAACTTACCCAAATCTTTTTCTTTTTAGTCTGCATCAACAATCGGAGTAGTATGGTACCTATTCAATACATAAAGTAGCTTCTGTTTTATTTAATTCTTTCACAGACTATCCTAAATTAAAGCAGGAAAAAGACTGGCTGCTCAGTTATCATATTTCTAGAATGAAAACCTTCTGTTTTAGCCTAACTATAATTAAAAGTATAAATCTATGTATACATCTCCAGTACACACACACACACACACACACACACACACACACACACACATGACAATCCACATTCAAGAAATGCCTGACGCTCACAACTTACAGGACAGGAGGTCTGCCTTGGCTCTCTGCTTCCTGGGGTTCGGTCCCTAGCCAGATGGCAGGCACACCCCAGTGCAGGAGTGCGGTGGAAGGAAGTAGTCCAGCTCATGACATTCAGGGAGCAGAGAGCAGGAGAAGCAGCTGGCAGGAAGGGCCAGCGCCACATGCCACCATGTCCTGTCCCACCACGCACTTCCTCCGATGAGGCTCCCTCCTCCTGACAAACCATTCAGCCATGAGCTCGTCGGTGGCTCAGTCCACGCCTAACTCGGCATCTCCATGATCCACACACCTCCAAAAGCTGGGCCTCTTGATGGTTTAGGTCTACGCCAGCTTTAAAGTATTTTTTTCAACAAAATTGTCTGTGCACGGCACTCAAGAAACCACATAAGAAGAGTTGCTCCCACAGGACCTGATGACACACATCCATAATCTTAATCCCAACATTTGGAAGAATGAGACAGGAAGATTTGGAATTCAAGGCCAGCCTAGGGATGTAGTAAGACTGTGTGTACAAAAAAGAGGTTGGGGGGGGGGGTGCTGGGGAGATAGCTCAGAGGAATAAGTGCTTGTCTGGCAAGCCCAAGATTCTGAGTTTGATCCCTGGTAACAGCAAGAGAGAGACAGAGACAGAGACAGAGACAGAGACAGAGACAGAGACAGAGACAGAGAAAAGTAAAAAGAAAGAATATTTCTTACCTTGACAGAAGGAACTCTTAATTTGCAATCTATAGGCATATATTAATGAACAAAGGAGGAACAAGTGGCAAGAAAGGGCCA